TCTCTTATTTTCTATTTAATGCCTGTAGGATATGTGGTGATAACTCCCTTCTTATCCTTGGTATTGCTCATTTATGTTCTTTTTCTTTACTAATTAATTTGTCCTTGAGATCTGTCAGTTTTGTTTCTCTTTTCAAAGAACTAGTTTTGGGCATTTTAATTGTATGTATTGTTTTCTATTTTGATGATTTTTCCTTTTTATGAATTCCTTTCTTCTAGTATAGGTTTAGTTTGCTCTTCTTTTTGTAGCATTTTAGGTGGCTTGTTAGGTCATTTGCTGTAGTTATTTTCTTATTATAAGAATTTATAAGAACAAAACTAAAAGCATGACCCTTCTCCCAGACTCCAGACAATACTACAAAGCTACAGTAGTCAAAACAATGTGGTTTTGTCACAAAAACAGACATACAGATCAGTGGAACAGAACAGAGTCCAGAAATAAACCCACACACTTATGGTTAATTAATCTATGACAAAGGAGGCAAGACTATATGATGGAGAAAAGCCTCTTCAACAGGTGGGGTTGGGAAAGCTGGACAACCTCACGTAAATCAATTAAGTTAGAACACTCTCGCACACCATATACAAAAATAAACTCAAAATGATTCAAAGACCTAAATATAAGACATGACATCACAGAACTCCTTGAAGAGAACACAGGAAAAATATTCTTAGACATAAATCACAGCAATATTTTCTTAGATCAGTCTCCCAAGGCAAAAGAAATAAAAGCAAAAATAAATTGGCAAAAACTCTGAGAAACTAGAATTTGCAGATATTGCTAGTGATACAGTCACTTTGAAAAGAATTCGTCTTGAAGTTACATAAACACCATATGACATAATATTCCCACTTTTCGCCAAGAGAAATGAAACTCTACGTTCACACAAAAACTTTTACGGGAATGTTCACAGGAACATTATGAAATTCTAGTCAAAATTAAAAGCAATAAATATGTTCATCAACTGGTACATAAACAAAATGTGATATAGCTATAGAAAGGAATATTTATTCAGTAATTAAAAGGAAGAAACTATTGATGTTAAATAAAAGAAGTCATAGGCAAAATATTACATATTATATGATTCCATTTACATGAAATTTCCAGAAAAGGCAGGTCAGCAGAGATAGACAGTGATTAGTGTCAAGTTACCTGGGGCTGGGACTGGGGCTTGGGATTGACTGCAAATGCGTACAGGGTTCTTTTTGTGCTGATGAAATGTTCTAAAACTTAGCTGTGCTGATGGTTGCACAAACTGCAAATTTACTAAAAAGACAATAAAATGCGTACTTAAAATAGTGAAGCTTGTTACATGCAAAGTATACCTCAGTAGAGATCCTTTAAAAAGGAAGGGGAACTGGGGGCTAAAGAGTCTGATTTTAGAGAATGAAAAAGGGAAGGAGGAAGGGAGAGATTGTGCAGTTGTTGTTGCTACATAATGTGGAAGAAGTGAATGAGGATTTTCCAGTGGCTTTTAAAAGAACTAATAGCTAATACTCAGTTCCAAGTTGCTCTCTGGACTGTGCTGCCAGATAAAAAAACTGAGGAAGGCTGAGGAAGGGCTTAGGAAGTAAACCCAAAAGATAAGAAGATGGAAAATAAGAAATAAAATATAAGAAAATCAGAGAACCAACTAGAGAATCAAGTAGGCTAATATTACTAACATATTACTAATAAAATAGTTGCAGGAAGAGAACACACAGAAAATGGAGAAAAGAAACATTATCAAAGAAATATCCACAAATTTCCACATCAGAAGAACCCAAGTCTTGAAACTGAAGTTCACCAAATTCTCTGGAAAAAATATTGGGAAAAAAAAAAGCTACACAAAAGTACAACATTACAAAATTTCAGAAAACCAAAGATAAACACAAAATCCAAAATATTTCCAGAGCAACAACAGTAAAACAAAACAAACAAAAAAACAAATAAAAAACAAGGCCATCTACTAAGGGCCTTGAGGGGTTGGGGGCACTGGACTTTACAGAATCAAAAGCCAATTAATAGAGACAGCTAGAAATGAAGCAAAATGCCTTAAAAATTTATAATGAAAATAATTTTCAACCTGCAATATTTTAAAATCAAATTCTATATTTAATCAGTACAAGGGAAACGCAGCTTGTTCTTGTGAGTCCCCTAAGCCCAGGCTCCTGACTTGCAGATTCACCCCCTGCCGCAGGACGTCTCACTCGGCAGCTTTCGACAGCACTACTAGGCAGAGTTCTGCCAGTGCTCCTTTTCCTCCCCTTCCTCCTCCTCCAGGGCTTTACTGAGGTATAATTTACATATTCTACAATTCTCTCATTTTGAGTGTACAACTGAATTATTTTTAGCATATTCAGAGTTGTGCAAACATCGCCACAATCTATTTTTTTTGTTTGTTGGGTTTAGGCACTGAAGGAAATCTCTGCCAAGTCATTAGCTGACTGAACATATCACAAAAAACACTTGTGTGGCCACACATGACAAATACATACTTCATAATACTAGTTCAGGAAAGTCACTAAACAAACACAAAACAATTACAATAAGCGATAACAAGAGTCCCTAAGAAGGGGAGAAAATCTGATTTTCACAGCACATTGCAATACTCAAAATATCCAGTTTTCAACAACAACAAAAAATATAAGGCATTTAAAGAATGAAGAAACTGTGGCCCATACACAGGAGAAAAATAAATTGATAAAAAATTTCCCCGAAGAAGCATAGATACTGGACTTACTAGAGAAAGACTCTAAATAAACTATTGTAAGCATTTCCGGAGAGCTAAAGGAAATTATGAGAAAAGTGTCTTGCTAAATAGAAAAATATCAATAAAGAAATGGAAATTATAAAAAAAATCAAACAGAAATTCTGGAGAAGAAGTTTAATAATTCAAGTGAAGAATTCACGAGAAGGGTTCAACAGCAGATACAAGCAGGCAGAAGAATCAGCACATTTGCAGGTAAGTCAAGTTAAACCCAGAACTGCCATATGACCTGGGAAATCTACTTATAGGCATATATCCAGGGAGATGGAAACAGGTATTCAAACAAAAACTTGCACAGAAATATTCATAGCAACATTATTCATTATAGCCAAAAAGTAAAAACAACCCAAATGTCCATCAATTGAGAAATAAACAAAATGTGGCTTATCTATACGATGGAATATTATTCATCCATAAAAAGGAATGAAGTACTGGTATATGCTACACATGGATGAACCTTGAAAATCTTACGGTAAGTAAAAGAAGCCAAACACAAAAGGTCACATATTTTATAATTCCATTAAATGAGATGTCCCAAATAAGTAAATCCATAAAGACAAAAAGCAGATTAGTGTTTGCCTGTGACTGGGCAGAGGAGAGAATGAGAAGTATTGCTAAATGGGTCTGAGGTTTCTTTAGGGGGGTGATAAAAATGTTTTGGAATTAGTGGTGATGGCTGCACAATATTGCACATTTAAAATGGTTTAAATGGTGAGTTTTACATCAATAAAAAAGAAGAAAAAAATAAACCTAAGAATTGCAAAGGGGATGTCCCAAGACAACAGTGAAAGTTCATTCCAGGACAACAGCTTCACAGCAGTACTGAAGAGTAACGGATCCATACTGGAAGAGGATAATGGAGGATTCTTAAAAAAAAAAAGTCTCTCCAAGGGAAAATATACCAACTGACATATATGACTATAAGGAAAATATCATAGGTAAATGTGGCAGAGTTGTTGGAGCACTGGAGGGGAAAAGTTAACAATAGTTACACAGAAAAAGAAGGTGAACATTAGCTCCAGGAAAATTGATGGGACTTGGGGGGAGGGATAAATTAAGAGTTAGGAATTAGCAGATACTAACTACAACATACAAAATAGATAAAACAACAAGGTCCTACTGTATAGCACAGGGAACTATATTCAATAGCTTCTAATAACCTAAATTGAAAAAGAATATGGAAAAACTATATATGTTATTTATAACTGAATCACTATGCTATACACCAGAAACTAACACAACTTTGTAAATCAACCATACTTCAGTAAAAAAAATTATGGATTGTATGAAACACAGATATGCACCTCTCATCTAAGCAACTGTATTTACAGTCATATAATATAAAGAGCGATAATGCTTTAACTGAAACTTTTGAAGTAATTATGTAGGGGGAAGGGTAGATAGAAGGGTCAAAGAAGTGAGGGGACTGATGTGGAAGATATAAGTTCTCATTTTCCAAAAGAGGTCATCAATATATATCAAAAAATGAGAAATACGGAAACAATTCAAGTATTTTATTTAGAAAAATGGAAATACTAGAAGAAAATGCTAATAGAATATTTTCATAACCTGTAACTTTTAAATTAGATTATTTGTAAAAAATTAAGAAACTAAATTATTAACAATCTTTATTTTATTAAAAAGTAGCTAGTGTGGGAGAGACTATTGGTTATTCCCAAGAGCAGTTCTTCCTTTCTGCTTCAGTAATAGAATTAGCTGGCTGAAAAGCTAAAGATTATATTTTTCAGTTTCCTTTGTACAGTGTTCCTAAGTTCTGGCCAATGAAACATTAGGTGAAAGTGACGTATGCAACATCTGGGTCATACTTTTACACAGAAACTTATTCCTCCTTTCCTCCTTCCTGATGGCTAGGAAGGGAACATGGTAGCTGGAAAAGAGGCAGTCATCTTGGACAATGAGATAGAAGCCATGTATGGAAGAGGGTAAAGCAACAAGACAGTATAACACTGGGGCCAGTAGCAACTTCACAGATTAAAATAAGTATATACACAGCTTAAAATTTTACATGATACAGAAGATAGAGCAATAAATTTCTATCTTATTTAAGCCACTGATGTTATGGTCCCTCCTTCAGAGCAGTCAAATCTATAGCTTGACCAATATAGACAGAAATCAACCAAAAGAATATTATAAAATTTATTATGTACACAAGGTTTGCAGCTAAGCAAATATTAACTTTGCATGAATGCTAAGACTCTTATGAAAGTTGGAAATTATGGTAAAAATTTACCTTTTTTAACTGGAGACTGATGTTGTTCATTAAGACCTTGAGAAAAGGCTTGTATTCCATTTGTCTTATACTGTTGAAAGAAGAAAATATACTTTTTGACGAAGGTTTCAAAATTTTATATAACCTCTTTTTTACACCATCTGAAAATATTTTCCTAAACAAAGTATTAGTCAAGACACATTTTAGGGCTTTGGATAAGCCCTAAAACCTTATTAAGAATGCTTCTTATTAAAAATAATAGAAATATCTTTCAAAATATATTCACATATAACTTTTTTTGTCATCATTATAAGTATTTTTGAAAGGGAAAATAAAGTCAAAGATGAATTATTTGATTCTAAAGATAAATAATTTCAAAGTAATTAAAATAGGTTTTAGTTAATAAAAAACATATTTATTTATAAAAACCTACAATAATAATATTAGAGTATTTTTTTTATCTCATGTGACTAATTCATAATGTCAGTTTACAAGCTTATGGTCTGTTTTACCTAACACTTTGGAAATAGTGGAAATAAGAAAAAAGTTGTTTTATCCAATGAGGCAAAGAGAAAGCAGAAATATTGGCAGAGCTCAATATCCTGAGAAGGGTGAAGGCTTAGCCCAGTTTTCCAGTCCTTCTTGTAGGACCATCTTTATTATGAGATTGGCTAAACTAATCTGATGACATTAAAAAAAAAAGATGTTTAAACTCCTGCCTCTTCTTTTGATTCCAGGCTCACCAAGAAATATTCTGATTACAAGTCAGCTTCCCATAAATCTCCAGAGAGCAGATAATACAATATTAGAAACAATAACAGAATCCCAGAGCACAAGACAGAAAAATTTCTCATTATAAAATAATACTTTTTCTGATTTTATAAATGATTTTCATGATTTTGGTCAGTAAGATCTACCCTTAAGAGATGATCTCCCCTTATGCTGACAAAAAGTCAGGTAGTAAATGGTAAACCTGACCCTGGACCACAGTTAATTCACCAAGGTAGGTTTCTTTGGAGACATCTATCCTGAAGAATAAAATATCTCTGCTCCATCAATCACTGCATTAGCAAGTTGTGGCCCATTCCTTACATATCTGCAAATTTCACCAAGGTAATTTGCCTAAAGTCAAAAGGGTTAATTATCTACCCTATGATTCAATGAAGCATAATGAGGTAATTCTCCACTACTCAGATGTCAGAAAAAATCAGAAAAAATAATTAAATTTTAGAATTTTTAAATTTTTAAGTAGAAGCAGAAAAGAAATTTTAAAAATACCAAAGCTTCTAGCTCTCCAAAGTTCTGTTAGATTTAATAACTATAATATAAATTATACGGTCCTTAATTTTTTTAATTTGAAAATTTCAGCAGACGCCCTCTTCACCATATACAAAATACTACTTAAATACAAGACCTAAAATCAAATTGTAATTTAAAAAATCAAGAAAACAATCTCTCTTTCAAAAAGAGAGTATCAAAAGAACAAAATACTCGGGAATAAATTTAACCAAGGAGATGAAATATCTGTACATGAAAAATTATAAGACACTGATTAAAGAAATTGACAATGACGTAAATAAATGAAAATATATCCCACATTCACTAACTGGAAGATTACTGTCCATACTATCCAAAATGATCTACAGATTCAATGCAATCCCTTTCAAAATCCCAATAGCATTTTTCATAGAAATAGAAAAGAAAGTCCTAAAATTCATATGGAACCCCAAGAGACCCTGAGTAGCCAAAGTAATCTTGAGTAAGAAGAACAAAAAGGGAGGCATCACACTTCCTAATTTCAAACTATATTACAAAGCTGTAATAATCAATACAGTCCAGTATTGGCAGAAAAATAGACACACAGACTAATATAACATAATAGGAAGTCCTAAAATAAATCCATGCATATATATTTAACTAATCGTTGACAAAGGAGCCAAGAATACACAATGGAGAAGGAGCAGTCTCTTCAAAAAACAGTTTTGAGAAAATTGAATATTTACATGCAAAAGAATGAACCTGGAACCTTACCTTGCATTACACACAAAAATGAACTCAAAGCGGATTAAAGACAAATCTATGACCAGCAACCATAAAACTCCTAGAAGAAAACATAGAGGAAAAAGCTCCTTGACGTTGGTCATGACAATGATATTTTTGGATATGACACTAAAAGCACAAGCAACAAAAGTAAATATAAGTAATGAAATTACATCAAACTAAAAATCTTCTGCACAGCAAAAGAAACAACACCTCGAAAAGGCAACTAGGAGAAAATATCTGTGAACAATATATCCAATAAGGAGTTATACATATCAAGACATATAAGGAACCATACAACACAAAAGTAAAAAAAACTTATTAAAAATGGTCAGAGGACTTGAATAAATATTTTTCCAAAGAAGACATAGAAATGGCCAAGAGGTACATGAAAAGATGGTCAACATCACTAATCATCAGGATAATGTAAATCAAAACTACAATGAGATACCACCTCACATCTGTTAGGATGACTATTATCAAAAAGATAAGTAATAACAAGTAGTGGCAAGAATGGGAGAAAAAGGAATTCTTGTACACTGTTGGTGGGAATATAAATTGGTACAGCCATTATGGAAAACAGTGTGGAATTTCCTCAAAAAAGTTAAAAATTGACTTATCATATGACCTAACAATCCTACTTCAGCCAAAGGAGATGAAATCAACCATCTTAAAGACAGTGCACTCCTATCTTCATTGTAGCATTATTCACAGTAGCCAAGATATGGAAACAACCTAAGTGTCCATCAGTGGATGAATGGATAAAGAAAATGTGATCAGAAAGACAGATAGAGATATAGACACATATATACACATATAATGGAGTATTATTCAGCCAAAAAAAAGAAAGAAAATCCTGCCATTTGCAATACCAGATGAACCTGGAGAACACTGTAATAAGTGATGTAAGTCAGACACAGAAGGACAAATCTCACATATATATGAAATCTAAAAAAGTCAGACTCATGGACTCAGATAACAGCATGGTGACTGACTGCCAAGAGCTGAAGAGTGGGGAAATAGGAAGATGTTGGTCAAAGGGTACAAATTTTCAGTTATAAGATGAGCAAGTTTGGGGGATCTAATACACAGCAGGGTGATTATAATTAATATTGTATTGCGTATTTGAAATTCCCTGAGAAAGTAGATCTTCAGTGTTCTTCCCACACACAAAAAAAACTATTAACCATGTGAGGTGACATTTTGTGGCAATCATATCACAAAGTATATGTATATGTATATTATATATATGTATATCATCAGGTTGCATACCTTTTAAAAAAACATGTACAACCTAAATATATTCAATTTGTACTTGTCAACTAAACTAGGCAAAAAAATAAAACAGCAAATTACAATAAAATTTGAGAATTTCTATAATAAAGACATGCAGAAAGTGCAGTGGAAGGAAGGGGTATCAAATACGGCTTAGAAGTTTCAGAAAAGGCTTTACATATGAAGTGATGCTTAAACAACACTTGTAGGAGGTAGGAGACAGGGGTTAGGCTGGCTGATGAGTGAAAAATGAATGTGTATGGAAGAAAAGCTGCCTTGTGCTGGAAAGCATGGGATAATATGGCTTGTTTAGGAAATGAAAAAAAAGTTGAACAGGCTTGAGTAAAGCACAATAAACACAGTGTGTTGTTTTTTGCTTTTGTTTTTAATTTCAGGTCAAGGCTCTTAGTAATTTGTGGTACTGAATACCTAATCTGCATATCCAGATATTCAATTTGGCCTTTTCATTTTTATAGCAAAAACATTCCCAGCCCCTGCTACTCATCTTAAACGACTGAGAAAAGGAAGGAGAATGGGAAAGAGATAAATTCATTTCAACATCCATTCCTAGAATGAAAATTTAAAGCGTTAAGTTTGTAAACACTATCAGAAGACAAGAGGTAAACAGGAAAAATACTGTAACTCACAAAGACCTAATTTCTGTAGAGAAAAAGAGCTCCTAGGAAACAGGGGGCAGGGGGAGCCTCTAAAAAAGAGCGGACAAAGGCCACGAATTGGCAATACAGATGGAAGGAAATTCATGTTACTTGTAAATAGATCGAAGATGGCCACCAATTTTTGAAATTCCTTCCATCAGCAGGTAAACTCTTCATCTCCTCCCCTTGAATCTGAGCAAGCTCTGTGGCTGCTCACACCAATCTAATACAACAGACATGGCATTGTGCTGGTTTCCAGGCCTTAGTTTTGAAACCTAGACGTGGCGCTGTGAAGAGCCCACACCACTTGGAGAGGCCATTTTTAAGTGCTCCCTCCTCTCTACAGGAGCAGCTGAACTCTAAGCCAATAGCCAGCATCAACCAGCAGCCACGGGAGTGGGCCTCAGGCCATCTTGTCCAGCCACAACTTTAAAGCACTCTGGGCCTAGATGCTATCTGACTGCAACCACAGTACTGAAAAATAGCCATGTACCCTCGTTAGCCCACAAAGCCATGAAAGAGAATAATGAACTGTTCTTTCAAATTGAAGCTTTCAAGTACTTTTGTATGAGGTAATAATAAAGAGCGAAAGATTAAAAGAAGGAAGGACGATAATACCAGACATAAACATGGATTTTCACAAAGAAATTAAGAGTGCTGGAACTAAAATGAAGGTCAAGTAAAATTCATTCTTTTATTTTAAACATTATTTTAAACGATAATATATAAAAGCAAAAATAGTAGCAATGTCTTGTGTATTTATAGTAGAAGCTAAAGTAAAATTATTCAAATAGAGCAAAACTACAAAAGGCTATGAGATCTAAGAAGTGAGTTTAACAAAGTCAATGTAAAAAATCAATAGCACTTCTGTATCCCAGCAACCAACATGTGGAATTTGAAATTTACAAAAAAAACCGCTTACAAACAAAATGCTTAAAAATTTGACAAAAGATGTTGAAGAACTCTGTGTTGAAATATATATATAACACAGAGAAAAGTCTCATGTTTATGGATTAGAAGACTCAATATTGTTAAGATGTTAATTCTTTTCAAATTAATCTTTAAACTCAATCAAAATTCCAGTAGGCTTTTTTGTAGAAATTGGCATGCTCATTTAAAACTTCTGTGGAAAAGTAGAGGACCCAGAATAGCAGAGACAAATTTGAAAAAGAAGAAAGTTAGTGAACTTTTGCTACATGATTTCAAGACTTATCAGAAAGCTACAGCAGTCTATAAAGTGTGATACTGCCCTAGAGATAGACATATAGAGGGATTAGATGCCAGTATGGTGACTATAGTTAACAGTACTGTACTGTATTGAAAGTTGCTAGGAGGGTAAATCTTAAATGTTCTCACCATTAAAAAAAAAACAACAAAACCACAAGAAAGTAATTATGTGAAATGAAAGACGTGTTAACTCATTGTGGTAAACACCTTGCAACATACACATGTATCAAATCATCACATTCTACACCATAAACTTATACAATATTATATGTCAATTATATCTCAACAAAGCTGGAAAAAATAAGACATATAAATCAATAGAACATAACAGAGTTTAGAAATAAATTCACATTTGTATGATACACTGATTTTCAACAAATTCTTCTGATTCAGTGACAAAGACAAAGAATTCAAATATTGAAAACACACAAAAGATCTGAACAGACCAAAAGGAAAAATGCAGATGGCAGATAAACTCATGATAAAATGCTCAATCTCATTAATTAGAAAAATGCAAATTTAAAATATAATGAGATACAAGTACTCACACACTGAAATGGCTAAACATAAAAATACTGACTATACCAAGTATTGGAGAGGCTGTGAAGCAACTGGTATTCTCACACACCGCTGGTGGGAATGTAAGATGGCACCACCACTTTGGGAAACATTTTGCCAGTTTCTTATGAAGCTAAACAAACTTATCATATGACCCATCAGATCCACTCCTGGGTATTATGTGTATGCTCGCACAAAGACTTGCACACAATTTCCACAGCAGCATCATTCATAATAACCCAAAACTAGATACAATTCAATGTTCATCAACTGATGAATAAACTGTCCTATATTCATACAGCAGAATACTGTTTCAAATTAAAATGAAACAATCTCAAACTAATCTCAAAAACATTATGCTGAGCAAAAAAATAAAAATCTAACACCAAAGAGTATATATTGTGTGATTTCATTTATGTGAAATTTTAGAACAGCCAAAACTAACTTATAATTAAAGAAAGCAGATCAGTGGATGCCTGGAGCAGAAGGGAGCACTGGAATTAGTGGAAGTGAGGAAGATAAATGACTGCAAAGGGGAAAAAGAAAATTTTGGGGGAAAATGAAAATGTTCTATATCTTCACTTTGTGGAGTTGCTTATATGAGGTATTATATATTTGTCAAAACTCACTGAATAAAAGGGTTCATTTCACTGTATGTACATTTACTTTAATAAAGCTGGTTTTAAAAAATACAGAGTTAGTAAAAAGTGTCCTTTATTATAAATTATGTGAGATCTCTGACACAGGTTCTGGTAGCTTCTGCGTTATAACTGATGTAGCAGACAAAACTTTAAGCTTAGAAGTAAAGTTAATTAACTTATTTTTCTCTATAAAATTTATAGTATTAATATACTTTTTTTACATTATAAAGTTTCTAAAAGAAGGTCAAGGATGCCAAAGAGAACGATCAATATTATTATGGTATTAATTAGAGAAATACTAGCTGCTGGAACAGATAAAACAAAACATTACAATGACTTAAAAAATTAATATAAAGCAAGAGTAATTAAGATTGCATGGTATTGACACCAATACACAAATAGATCAATGGTAAAGAATAGAGTCCAGAAACAGGCCCTACTCATATGAAACTTATACAATAAAGACAGCATAAAACTGTATGAAAAGAATGGATTATTCAATGAATTATGCTTTATACTGGTCATCTATATGAAAAAGTAGATTTCTATCTCGTATCATACAAAAACTAATTTCAGATAGACTATACGCCTAAATATGAAAGCAAAACTTTAAAGCTTTTGGAAGAGTATGTAGGAAAAATATCTTTTGATCTTAGGGTTGGGAAGACTTCATAAACAATGACATACAAAGTGAAATCATAAAGAAAAAGATTGATAATATGATTACATTAAGATTTTACACATCTTACACAAAAACACCACAAAAAATAAGCAATTCTCTCATAGACCAAGAGAAAAATGGACAAAGGATTTTGAACTGGTAATTCACAAAAGAGAAAATCCAAATGGCCAAATTAAACATAGGAAAAGATGGTCCACTTTAAAGTAATAAAGAATTAAAAATTAAAAACAACAAAAAGATATATTTCTCACCAATTAACACGAAAAAAGGAGTAAAAGTCTGACAATAAGAAGGTAAGGACATAGAAAAATCAGAGTCCTTCATACACTGCTTGTACAACTCACTGTGGAGAGTAATTTTGGAGAGTAATTTGGCAGCATACAGCAAATCTACTCTAGTTTCATACTGCAGAGAATCTCTCAAACGTATATAAACTATAACATACAGATAGATGTAGTATTTATTATAAAATAGAAAAAAGCGTCATGCCCATGAACAAAAATGGAACAAAAAATGTGGTATCTTAATAAATATATAAAGATATTTTTCAGTATCCGCACATACAGAACTACTTTATTCACTTTAATAGTTGCTTAGTATTCCATTTATGAATATACTTGTGCTTGTGCATACATAATGTATTTCTGGAAGTATCTAGATAAGAAAGTGGTAAATGGTTAATCAGAGGAAAGAGGTGACAGAGGGATAAAGATTGGAGGGAAACTTCACTAAGTATCATTTTATAATGTTTTGAATTTTTAGATTTGTGACTAGTCAAGTCAAAAAATTAAATTAGAAAGCTTTAAACATAATCCTAAATGCAAAAAAATGTGGAAAACCATATGTGGGTAAAATACTATTTATGTAAAATTATAAAATTGTTAAAACAATTCTATTTGTTGTAGCAGAAAGCACATTCATGGAAGCAATAACAAACTGAGCACAGTTCCCTTGGGGAAGTGCAGGAAGGGACGGGGAAGTGCAGGAAGGGACAGGGATGGTGCAGGGACATATAGGTGTTTTTAACTAATCTGTAAGGTTTAAAAAATTTTTTCTAAAACAAATATAGTAAAATATTTAATTTGAAATTGGTGAGAAATGGGTATAGTGAGTGAGTATTTTATTTTCTGTAATATATGCTTGAAATACATCACAATTTTTTAAAGCATATAAAGCACTGAGCATAGTGTCCGGCACACAACAGTCATCTAACAAATATTACTTTCCAGCCCGTAAAGCCTCATTTTATTATGACCTGTAAGACTTACTCTGCTAACTCCACTTTGTAAGCACTGAGTGTTGCATGGATATTCTTTTTGAAAGTTGAAAGGGAATACTGCTCCTGTTAGGAGAGAAAAAACCATTTTAAACATCCATTACTTCAATAAATGGTATAGTATCACCTAAAAACTTTAAGTATGCAGGATATTCTAGGCACTGTTCTGAAATGTTTTCTGATAGTTCATTTATTCAACACAATGAAATGTTAGCCATCGTCCTAGGGATGGGTTTATAACCATGAAAAAAGTTCAGAGATAAAAGAGTTCATAGCTTATTTTAAAAAACAAGCTCATAAATAATGACTGTAAAAAAAATAAGTTATATGAGTGGTACAGAGAAGATACCGGGGAAGAGCAGAGTGGGCTCTAGGGTATTAACAAGAGCTTCACAAAAGGAAATAATTTAATCTGGGTCTTGAAGAAAAAGTAGGTTTCTATGGGGATGTGAATTGGCCAGGGAGTACAGAAGTATACTGAGAAAAGTTAAAATTAATTTCTGATTTACTTAACTCTTCTGCTTAATAAAACCCCATTCCTGTCCAGATCTTAAGTGGTTAAAATTAAACAAGAAATCAGGGCTACCAGCCCATTCCTATTTACTCCTGTAATAGCCTTCAAGGAAAAGGATTAGTGAAAACTGAATCTGTACAAATGAGGGAAAGAGGAGTGCTGTAAAAAGGCTAGTCACAGAAAGGAGTGGCTGCCAAGGGTTTTATTTCCTTCTCTTTAGGACAAAATCTGAGACTTGGCCCCACACAACTGCTTCTTCAGTGCACTAGACGGATATGCATACGGCACCAGCATTGCTAAGCTATGGTCCAGATCCCTGAGCTTCATTCTGTCTGTCCTAAGTCACAGCCATCTTCAGAGGAAACATGGCCAAACTAGAGACAGTCTTCCTTGTGGGAACCAAAGATGGGAGAACAAACGGAGGACTGAGGAATTGTGTCACTTTTATCTTTTCTGCTTCATCCTTGTACTCAATAAAATGACTGTTTTTTCCTTTTCCTGAGAAGCCAATTATTCAGTTGAACACATGGACTAAAAAGAATTTAAATAAATTTCATGTTTTATGTATATATATATACACACACATATAACAAGTAATGAAGAGGATAATAAGGTTAATATTCCAATTTAGGAATTAAATACCAAGTATTTGAAAAATTTGTCCAAAAGGTTAGCTTTATGGGCAAGAGAAAATATTTTAATTTTAGAAATTTTACTTTAGATTTTCTGAAAAATTAAATTATATGTTCCAGCTCAGGCACAGCCCTAATCTGTAAGTGTTGCTTTGCACTGATTTTTTTTCAGCTAGGTATATTTTTTAAAGGTTAGTGCTCTTGCCAGCATGACTGGCTCTGCAGTGATCATAATCACAGGACACAATCTGTATTGAGAGTATGATTCTGTGCAGAAGCCAGTTGTTAAACAGTGAAAATAAGACATGAAAAAAAAATACATGAGTTGCTCTAGGGCAAAAACTAGTCTTCCCACCTTTGTTGGCCTGGTAGACTGTGGACTGATAGACCATTAAGAATCCTTTTCTTAACGTAAATCAGAACCACAATAAGGTATCACCTACACTGGTCAGAATGGCCATCTTCAAAAAGCCTACAAACTATAACTGCTGCAGGGGATGTAGAGAAAAGGGAATCCTCCTACACTGTTGGTGGGAATGGATATTGGTGCAACCATTTGAGAACATGGTATGGTTTCTTTAAAAAACTGAAAACAGAGCTACCATATGATCCAGTAATCTCACTCCTGGGTACATATCTGGAAAAATGAAAAGTCTAATTTGAAAAGATACACGCACCTCAATGTTCACAGAAGCATTATTTACAATAGCCAAGACATGCAAACAACCCAAGTGCCCGTCAACAGATGATTGGCTTAAGAAGATGTGGTATATGTACACAATGGAGTATTACTCAGCCATAATAATGAAATACTGCCATTTGCAGCAACATGGATGGACCTAGAGAATATTATACTTAATGAGGTAAGTTGGACAGAGAAAGACAAATATATAATATCACTTATATATGGAATCTTAAAAATAATACAAATAAATCTATATACAAAACAGAAACAGATGCACAGACAGAAAACAAATTTATGGTTACCAAAAGGGAAAGGGAGGGACAGAAGGATAAATTAGGAGTATGGGACTAACAGATATAAGCTACTATACATAAAATAGATAAGCAACATAATTTTACTATATAACATAGGGAACTATATTCAATATTTTATAATAACCTACAATGGAAAATAGCCTGAATATATATATATATATTATATATATATGCTGTACACCTAAAACGAAGACAATTTTGTAAGTCAACTATATTTCAATGAAAAAAAGAATCCTTCTCTTTGGTAATACTTCTAAATTCTTCAAACAGAGATAATTGGTTTTCATTATTTTTTAAATATCCACCATAAACAACTTACATAATATATATATTATTTAGCCTTTCAAATACTAATTGGCCGTTAACCAATTAATATTTTTAAATGTGTACCTAGATTACTCACCAGGGGTAGAAGTCAGATGACGAACAGGTCTTGCTGGTTGAAGCGGTTTACCGATCAATTTTTTTGTTTCCATTATCACAAAGATCTTGAGGTTCCATACTTTGGGGGGGAAAATACATTTTATCTTCTGGACAAGACAATCAAGATGCTTTAACATATCTACAAATAGCCATGACATCCATTTGAGGGTAAATATTTTATAAGATGGAAAACACAAACACAAAACAAGCATTTAAAATAACATGCAACCACTGCAGACCCCTTTACAGCATCTGTCACAGACATTCCCTCTTTAAAACATTTTCCTCTCTTAACTTCCCTGACTCTTTCTTTGGGATTGTTTCCTATTTCTTTGATTGTCTCTTTTAACTTCCTCAGCTGACTCCTCTTTTTTTCTTCAATTAAATTTAGGGATTCTTCCTCATTTGGCTTTGGTCCTCCTAACTGATCTATTCTGTTCTCGTGACTGCAACTCCCTATCCACATGATAAATATGCCCTAATTCACACATCCAGCATCTACCTCTCTCTTAAATTCCAGCTCTGTTTTTCTAACTGCCAAAAGATACTTCCATTTACATCTTATCACAGGTACCTCAAATTCAACATATCCATAATCAGATTCATTATTTTGACTCCCAAAATGTCCCTCCTTCTGTATTCCTTAAAGCCATCCCCAGCTCCCTCAAACCACCCTTGGTTAAAGACACCTTAAATTTGTCTAAATTAGAGCCCTGACACCACGGTGAGTCTCTCACTCCTATCCATTCTCCTTTCAAAATATCACTCAGATCTGTTTTCTTTACGCCCACAATTACTCTTACAGTCCCACAGTAGTTCTAAATGTATCTCCCTGAACACCAAGTCTGATTTAAACACTTCCTCTCCCTATGTACCTGAGACATGCGAGTGCACCCACATCATGGCACTTAGACAACACCACACTCTGCTACAATGATTTATTTGTCTTCCATACTAAGCAAAAGTGAGGAACAGATTCTTCTTAAGGTGAGGAACACTTTTCACTCCTCCTGTGTCCCATGCAACTAACTCAGTACCTGGACTGGATCCAAAGTAGGTGCAAAACAAGTACCTGCTGAACAAATGGGTGAATACAGCCTCTTTTTCTCCCCACACTGTCATCTCTTAACACACACACGTGCTTAAAAAACTTCAGTTCCCCATCACCTCCTGGATTATTAATAAAAGAACCAGGAGCCAATTTCCATGTGTCTTACATAGTAAACCATTTACCTATGTTACATATTTAATACTCAGAACAACTTCATAAATTAGGCACTAGTCTTGGGTCTAAGACTAGTTAGAGCTCACGTCTTGGGTCAGTCTACCGGGGTTCATATCACAGCAGCAACACCAAGCTATATAATTACACAAAACAATAACCTCTACCTCCTAGGTTTGATGTGAAGACTAAATAAAATCTGCAGAAACAGCACAATGCCTGCTGCATAGTAAGAGTTCAATAAATGTTAGTTTTATCATTTTTCATCCTCATTTTACAGACAAGACTTTCAGAAATCAGGTAACTTGCCCGAGGTTATGATTCCAGGAAGCGATGGCTGTGCTCATCCCTGTGCTTCTGGCCATACTCTACCGTCAAGCTAGCCTCATACTCTCTTTCCACCCCCCAAGTAGGCAGAACTGTCCAAGTTTGGTTCAGTACCCTTACATGCTCACAAAGCACCCCTGTATCCTCTTCCCATGTGGTATTTATTGCACTAGTTGCAATTATGTATTATCTGACTATTAAATTATAGCTCTATCAGTGAGGTATCTCTCTAGTGGCTAGCAGTGTCTAATACACAGCATATGTTCAATACGTTGCTGAATTCATAAAAGTTACTCTGTTTCACTATATGTTTGTACATTCAGGTCCTCTGTCTGCAGTTCCCTCACTCTCCCTGCTGCTCTTCTCCCAAATTGCTATGCAGCCTTCAAGACCAAGGTTAAGTTCTTGCTATTTCCTTGTAAAGTATCCTCATGTCTCAACACTAACATTAAATAAGATAGTTTATATAAAGTTCTCCAGTTCCTAACAAATAGTTGATAGTAAAATAATAATGATAATATTTTTTCTTTCTTCCTCCAATTGGCCCGTACTATATTTTGCCTATTAATTTTTCTAAAATGTATCATAGAAAATCTATTGTATGCCTAATTGACTACACTGAGTCAGCTGAGGCTAAAAAAACTAGACCTAGTAGCTGCAACATAATTGCTAAATAAATTTATAAATTTAAATACCTCCTATTTAATAAAAATCTTCTGATGCCTGAATGGATCAAAAGCTTTCCAAATTTTGATGCCTATCAAGACAAAGTCAAAAGTAAAACTCCACCTGACTTTGTACCTGCTCATCCAGAAATTGTAATGTATGATGTTGAGCAGATGATAATCGAAGTGACTGTTTCCCTAAGCATAAAATAGGGTTAAGAACTTCCTTTAAGCCTAAAAATGCCTTTGGATATAACTCAAATCTTAAAATCATAAATTTATAAGCAACCTCTCAAAGTGAGCAATGATAAATAAGCACAAAATAGTTACTTTTCCCTGAAGTTGGAGATAAGCAGCCAGTATTCCAAGTTAACACCTACCTAGCTTTGTATGTTAACTGGTATTTCAGCATGGTGATTAACAACCTTCTAGACAAAACTAATGCTGTTGTACCTGTTGGCATTACAACTTTGATATAACAGGAAACAAAAAAAGTTATAAGCCTATATAGCCAAAAAAAAGAAAACTTCTAATATTTATTGAGTATTTTCTATGTGGAAAGGCATATTTTGATATGAACCAAAAAGCAACCTAATATTGCATTATTTAATGTTTATTCTAGCCATTTTAATTAAGACCCTAATACTAGTAGTAGAAACTTTCCATCCTGTTTCCCATGTGAAACTAATGAATCGGAATACAATAGGGTACTCTGGCACACACTTTGTTGTTTTTCATTGCTCAGCTGAAACTGAGCTGGTAGGTTGTGAAGTCTTTTCCAGTTGCTGAGCAATGCAATTCCACCGTATTCAAACTAGGGATTTTCAAGAGTTGGGGAGTTACAGAACTATTACATGATTTTGCAACACAATAAACAAAAAAACAAAAGATCTTTCAGAACCACCTATCCTTTCAATTTTTAGTAGGAAAACTATAGCAAAGGCTCCAGATATAAAAATCCACATCAATTAAGGAAATTAGAAAAGATGGTGCCAAACAGTACTCTATTTACATATTTTTTAAAGCAAACTATGCATACATAGTGACATTACAAGGGATACATTTGGGATGCATAATATGTAAGATCACCATGTTTCAGTGTTTAATGGAAAAAGCAAGCATTTACTTTGTATAATAATAAGAAATTATTATAGTAAAACTGATCCAGGATTGTAGTCTATGGAAGACAGGACTCCACAAACCAAAGCCTAATTCTCAGTTTAGGTTAAAAATAAATAAAGACTTAACTACAGAGTTAGAATATAAAATAACTTCAATCTTAAACAAACTCTAACGTCTCTCTCACTCACTGCATGCAGAGCTCCAGAAGTTTCCTTTGAAGCTGCTGAGGCTCCCTACCTTAGGCATTTACAATACCAAGTGTTACAAAAAACAGCTGCAGAAAAACCATAATCCCACCTACAACACTGGGTAGCAAGTAGTGGGCCTGTCATAAAGTTGTCTTTTGAAATGTAAATATATAGTTTTGTGGTATAAATATTTTTAAAGGACATTTTGATCCAATGTCTCAAAAATTCATCCTATCAATACATGCTAAGAAACGGTTACTAAAGTTTTTTTTCCCAAGTTTACACATATTTAACAAATCATCTTAAAGGGCCAAGTGGTATGTACAGAACACTGGTCTGCAAGTTGAGAAACCTAAATGTAGCTGGTATTCAACATCTAGCTACACTAGCTAAATTTTAGGTTATTTTTTTTGTTTAAAAGTTTATCAAACTAAATATGAATCCTAAGGGCCCACCAATTCTGAAATTATAAATTAATCTAAAATTTTCTAAAGTATAGTGGCATGAGTTAATAAGTATATATACTGACCAATTGGGGACAATTTCATTACCCAATATGTACTATTTTTTTAAATTAAAACTATTTTTTTGAGATCCTACTACATGCTGACTGCTTTACATATATTATCTCATTTAGTTTTGAGCCATACATTAACTGTTGTAGAAAATCATTATTAGTCACTTGACAGATGAGAAACCTGTGGCTCAGAAAAAATAAGAGACATGTTCAAGTACGCACAATTAATAACTGGTAGAAATGAGGTTTTTGACTATCAACTTCATGTCCTTGTCTCTAAACTCACATGTTTGGTAAGTAAAAGACACCTGACTCTCCATTATTCCATGTGGACACTTCTTGAATGGGAAAAAAAATTGTGAGTAGTTACATTTATGTATAAAACCTTGCTGAATAAACTGGTGTGTGTTAACAATTTCCATTTCTTCCATTTACAATTTTTCTTAGAGTACTAAGTAAGTTTTGGAATTACTATGCTTTCTTCATTCTGTAGACATGGTACACTGCAATTCTAATCATGGTCACAACACATGAAATTATGTATTACACTTAAAATTTACAATTTAAATTTCAGATTTCTTTAAAAGAAAGTGCTGATGGCTCTGCTGCAATTAAAAAATAAGAGCACACAAAAGTAAATAAGCTGAGAGAAGAAATGAAAAGATCATGCTTTCACCTACGTCATGTACATTTCCCACATGATAATCAGGATTTGATCTCAATTTTCAACTTCAAAATATTTCTCTCACAAAGTTAGGATTCCTTAAAGCCAAATGCTGCTTGTAAGTAAACATCACAAAATGATAAAGTGATAGATGAAAACTAACATTAAAAAAATATAGAAGGGTAAAAGATAAACTAATTACGACTTAGGTGATGAGGTGATGAAAGACTTTTTTTTTTGAAAGACATTTTTATATTGCACAAATCAGGTTGCCATACTTTGCCATACAGGAAAAGTTAAAACTAACATATCAAAAAGATATAAGCCAAGAGTGTTCCATTATATTTTCCATTTGATGCCTTTCGACCAAAAAATGTTTTTCTCTGTTAAGTATCTTTCAATACAAACAGAATTTAACATTCAGGTGGGATAAAACTGTCCAGGTAATGAGGGTTTGTGGTTGTCATAACTGTTACAACTGTCCTTTTACAGGTTTTTTTTTTACAGTTTTGCTAAAACAGTAGCAATTAGAAACTCATACAAATATCACGTTGTACACCTGAAACTAGTATGTTATATGCCACCTTTTTTTTAAAAAGGCATATCCTTACATACAAATTGCTAATCTTAATCTTCAAATATGTTCATGAATCATTTAATTTCCTTCTGTGAATTGACCACATAGGTCTTTTGGTTCTTTATTCCTACTGAGTTTTCCTTTCTTATTAAATATAACTTCCTGTAATTCATTATTAGTTATTATTTATTTTATTATTAATGAAAAAAGCAGTCAGAAACAAACACTGTGTCCCAAAATTAGTTAGGATAATGCCAGGGGGTGGGAGACGGTCTTCAAACCACCCCTCTACATAGGACCAGGTCCTGGGACACACGACGATGTGCACTTACTTTTTGGAAGTTTCAGTTGTGTGTTTTGCTCTGTTTTGTTTTTGTTTTATCACGACCCGCCGGGCCACGAGCCCCTGGCGGGATGTGCCCCCGGCAGCCCGCCCCTCCCTTCCGACCTGCTCGCCCGCTTCGCACCGCAGGAACCACCTTGCGGACCCTGAGGGGGACCTGCCCGATTTGTCCCGACCCACCCCGGGCGTCCTTCCCTCACCTCCTTTCCCGGGGTCCCGCCTCGTCGGCGGTGCCCACCCGCCTCCTCACTGCCCGGGGCCCGACTTCTGTCCCCCGTGCGGCTCCTGTTCCGCGGCCACCTACCGCCTCAAGATCCGGGAGGACTTCGGGGCAGCAGCGCCGCGACGCTCGGCCCAGACG